GAAGTTCTCAAACCTCTGGCAAACTTGGTAGACATTGAGCATGAAATTAAGAGATTTNAAAAAACACAGATACTAAGAGAAGGGAGTTATTCCCAGTGTCCTGGCCTACCATCCTTCAAATAAAATTAGTCATTCACTTCATGGTTGTTTGTAGGACGTTGCTGTGTGCAAATTGGTTGCTGCGTTTGCAATACAGATACACGATCATTGCACTTCACAGTAAAATCTTTTTTAAGGCACCTCTATGATGTTATAAGGCACTGTACCAATTGCAAGATTTATCATTCAGTTTTCAAGGAGGTGTTTGAAGAGAAGACAGAGGGAGAAAGGTATTCTAGTTTTAGAAGAGATTTCCAGAGTACAAGGTCATGGTAGCTGGAGAAAGTTGTGAGAAATGAGAAATAAGAGTAAAGGATACTGGCTGGAGGGCAGGCTGGAATCTGAGAAGGCCCTGTTACTGTCTTTTCTCTACCAGCCTCAGTGCTGCTGCTGAACAAAGTGTAAAAAGCCTGTCAGAAACACTGTAAAATGAATTTCCCTCTGTCAATGCTGCCTTTATCCTGAATAGTTAGATATAGGGGAGATTGAGAGCACATAATAGCTCTCACAGTTTTCAATAGAAGACATCCCAGGGAGTAGCTGCACAAGACCACAATGTTGTACATGGGGTTGACAGAAGAGAAGTCTCTGAGGAAGATAAGGCTCTCCAAGGGATGCAATTACTTATGTATGTCAAAAAGGTTTCCTCTGTGTCTAGAACAAGAAACCTATGGCTGTGAAGGTCACAGCAGTGCTGACATTTTTGCTGCAGATCATTCCAGTCATCTGCAGGCAATATATTATACAATACAATACAAACTACATTTGTATAGCGCCTTTCACGTCAGGAGGACGTCCCATATTGGGCATTAGTCAAAGCACTGCATCCAAAATGTGAGATATAAAACGTCCACTCCCTCTGTAACAAGGCCCTGGTCATCAACGATCTCATCCTTGATGAGAGCGTTGACATCATGGCCTTAACAGAAATCTGGCTCACCCCAGGCGACATGTTTCCCCTCACGGAGGCCACACCACCCGGCTACACCTCCCACCACATCCCTCGCCCCAACCGCCATGGCGGTGGTGTAGCCCTTATCTCAAGGACACCACTTGCCCTATACCCCTACTCCTCTGGCTCTTTCCCCTCTTTTGAGCACCTTACCCTCTCCCACTCCTCCTTTCTCTCACTCAAAATCCTCCTCCTCTACCGGCCCCCTAAAACCTCTCCCACCTTCATCTCCGATATTTCTACCCTACTAACATCTCTCTGCCTCTGCTCTGATCGCCTCATCATCCTGGGCGACTTCAACCTGCACTTCACCCCTTCCTGCTCCATCTCCTCGGACTTGTCCTCCCTGCTCTCCTCGTTCAACCTCTCCCTCCACATCAACTCCGCCACTCACAGTCACGGCCACCCACTCGATTTGGTGATCACCCGGGGCCTCAGTGTCTCGGATGTCACCATTACCGACAAAGCCGTCTCTGATCACCACTTCATCTCCTTCACCACCTCCATCCACTTCCACCAGACCCACCACCATCTTCTACCGCCCCTGGAAGAAGTTACCCCCACAATCCCTAACCGTTGCCTTGGAGTCCTCTGAACTCCTCTCCCTTTGGCCTTCACCCCTCACTGACCCCTCTTCTGCTCTCACCCTCCTCCACAACACCCTCTCCTCCACACTCGACACTCTTGCCCCCATCACCTCCCGTACTGTCTCTTACTCTCGCTCCTTCCCCTGTTTCACCGCTCGCTGAACAGCCAGGTGCGGGCCGCTGAACGCACCTGCCTCAAATCTGGCCTAACGGTCCACTGACAAATCTGGCTGGACCTCCTCAAAATCTACCGCTCCACTCTAGCCTCGGCCAAGTCGTCCTTCTACTCCAGGATAATCCTGGAGGCGAAGAACAACCCCAGGCTTCTGTTCTCTACCACATCCCAACTCCTCCACCCCCCCGCCACCCCGCGCAGGTCATCTCCTCCAACCTTCACTGCAAGGAGATGCTGGATTTCCTTGAATCCATAATCAATGGAATCCGCTCCGCGGTCACTCCCCCTCCAACTTCCACCCACCACCCACCCCTTCCCTTCCACACTCTGACTCCTACCCATCCTCCACACACCTTCCAACCCGTTTCCCCACCCTCTGTCACCAAACTCATCCTGTACCTGAAACCCACCACCTGCTCTCTTGACCCCATTCCCACTCCACTCCTTATCTCCCAGCTCCACCTACTTGCCCCACTTCTCACAGACATCATCAACCTGTCCCTCTCCTCTGGCTCTGTTCCCATTCCCCTAAAAACTGCCACGATCACTCCCACTTTGAAAAAATCTTCCCTTGATGCGTCGCAGCTATCAAGCTACCGGCCCATCTCCAACCTCCCCTTCCTGTCCAAGGTCCTTGAAAGAGTTGTCACCTCCCAGCTACGCTCTTTCCTCTCCACCCATTCATTATTCAAACCCCTTCAGTCGGGTTTCCGTGCTGCCAATAGCACAGAAACCGCCCTGGTCAAGGTCACTAATGGCATCTTGACCATCTGCGACCAGGGTTCCCTCTGCCTCCTCGACCTATCGGGCGCATTCGATACGGTTGACCACGCTATCCTCCTCCACCGCCTGTCCTCCCACCTCAACCTTCAAGGCCCTGTCCTTGAGTGGTTTAGGTCCTACCTCTCCCACCGTCTTCATTTTGTTTCCACAAACGGCTTTTCCTCCAGCCCCCGCACTGTCTCGTGCGGTGTCCCTCAGGGCTCTGTCCTCGGTCCCCTCCTCTTCACCCTCTATATGCTCCCCCTCGGTGACATCATCCGCAGACATGGGGTTAACTTCCACATGTATGGGGATGACACCCAACTCTACCTTTCCCCCTCTACCCTCAACACCACGACCACTGATGTCCTGACAGCTGCCTGTCCGACATCGAGTCCTGGATGAGAGACAACTTTCTTCAGCTCAACGTGTGCAAAACTGAGGCCCTCCTGATTGGCTCACGTCAGCGCCTCCGCACCTCAGGCGCTGACACCATCAGCATCCAAGGCTGCACTCTCCACCTCTCAAAGCCGGTCAGGAACCTCGGTGTTCTGTTCGACCCTGAGCTGTCCTTTCTCCCTCATATCCGCGCCACAACTGGCACCGCCTTCCATCACCTCCGGAATATCGCCAGACTACGGCACTACCTCACCCCTCACGCTGCTGAAACACTGGTCCACGCCTTTATCACCTCAAGGCTGGACTATGCAAGCGAGAGACCTGAGTTCAATTCCAGGCAGGGCGAAACCTTAGGCAAGTTTCCTTACTCCACATGCCTAATAATAATCCCTCCAAAACCAAAAACAATAATAAATTGGTCATTTTCAATCTACGACTGTTTGTGGGACATTGCTGTGCGCAATTGGCTGCCGCGTTCGCCCACAAATATACAGTCAATTCACTTTACAGTGTGTTCTGTGAAGCGCTTTGGGACGTCCTCCCGACGTGAAAAGGGCTATATCACATGCAAGGATTATTATTTATTATTATTATTATTATTATTATTATGGGAACTCTCTCTTCGCCGACCTTCCCGGCACCTCCCTCCACAAGCTGCAGGTCGTTCAGAACTCTGCAGCTCGTGTACTGTCCCGCACCAGGCTTCGGGACCACATCACTCCCACCCTCGCTCGCCTCCACTGGCTCTCCATCCCCCAGAGGATCAAATTCAAGATCCTCATCCTCACCTACAAGGCCACTCACGGCCTTGCTCCCTCCTACCTCTCCGACCTACTATCCCTCCACGTACCTGCCCATGCCCTCCGTTCCTCTGGCTCCGGTCTGCTCCACATCCCCCGCCCTAACCGCCCTACCATCGGTGGCCGGGCTTTCAGCCTCTCAGCCCCTAGGCTCTGGAACTCCATCCCCCAATGCCTTTACCTTGCCTCCTCCCTTTCCTCCTTCAAGGTCGGTCTCAAGACCTTTCTCTTCAACCATGTCTTCAGCTCCCCTCTCGACTCTCTACCCCTTCCTCGGTCCCTCCCTTCCCTATCCTCCTCGCTCCCTCTCCCTGCTCGGGTCCCGACCCAACTGTCCAGCGCCTTGGGACATCCTCCCGATGTGAAAGGCGCTCTATAAATGCAATCTTGTTGTTGTTGTTGTAAACCCAGAATAATATTTTAAGAAGTGCCAAGGCAATTGAACAAGAGGATATAGGTTTAGACTTGCAAAGGGCAATTTAAAGATAGATACTGGGAAGCTTTTTTTAATCCAGAGGATGATTAACGATTGGAGCAAGTTGTCAGGAAGGATGGTTGAGGGCAGAGCACTAAATAAAACAGCTGGGAAGACAATAGGGATGAGATTGAATAGGCCAAAAGGTCAAACCAATCTTCTGATTGTGTGAAAATGTTTTTACCCAGAAAATAATTAATGACTGGAATGGATTGCCAAGAAGCATAGTTGAGGCCAGGACAATGGACTTGCTTAAGAAACAACTTGATGGTATGATGGGAAGATGGTAGGGTGGGTATTCTGGAAGGATAAGATCAATGGCTTTATGGACCTTCTTCATCCAAACCAAACTTGTGAACTTCTGATGTCTGCATCCAAATAATGAGACAAAAGTCTGATCAGTTCTCCCAAGAAACCATAAAATAGATTACTGCTTACCTACCTGCTTGGTTTTGCTCCCATTCTCTTGCCAAGAAGAATATTTTTAAGGGTTGGGTATGTGCATTCAAGTTCGGACATGGATTTGAATCCACAACCTCTGACTCAGAGGCGAGACTGCTACCACTGAGCCAAGCTTGACACTATAATAATTATCTGTGCTGAACCAAATGTGTTTTTCTTATAAATGTACCTTTACAATATGTGTTCATTATTCAATGCAACACTTAAACAATGTTGCACCGGAGGGGAGATTTCAAAGAAAATTGGAAGTATAGCAAAGCTTTCATTACTGCTTTTTTGTTTCATGCAGGACACAGCAGGACAGGAACGTTATAGGACTATCACCACAGCTTATTACCGTGGCGCAATGGGCTTTATTCTAATGTACGACATTACAAATGAAGATTCTTTCAACGCAGTACAAGACTGGTGAGTGGAAAAACAGAGGTTTTATGACACTGAATGTAATCCGGGTCAGGCAGAAAACGCATTACAGCTTGATATAAATGTAGCCTATTATAAAGCATTAGTTGGGGTGGTCCATAAAATTCCATTTCCATTTCACCTTGTAACCAAACGTAATGGAGAGTTAGCTTCCTCATCGTGATGCTACTGATCACATGACACCCAAAAATGTAGCACACCAGAAAGTATCAACCTCGACTTCGTGAAGTGTCAACCCCAAGGTGAGATTTGAACCCATAAGGTTCTGACTCAGAGGTGACAGTTCTACCGGCTGAGCCAAGCTGACTGGCACCATTTAACATTTTAAGAGCTAAGTTTCGCTGAAATGTTTCAGTTCCATAGACTTGAAAAGCTTGAAAAAGTGTATGGCCCATTTTGTTATACATCTGTTGACTTTAAAAAGATCCACAATACAAAATTACATTTTTATAACAAAGGCGCTGGGCATTCAGGGATTTGGACCTGAGCAGAGGGGTTGGGATCAGGGAGGGTGGAGGGCAGGGAGGGTAGGAGAGTGGCTGAAGGTCCGGTCGAAGAGGAGGGTCTTAAGATGTGCCTTGAATGCGGCAAAAGAGGGAGCGAAGTGAAGGGAATGTGGGATGGAGTTCCAAAGGGTGGGAGCAGAGAGGCTGAAGGCCTGACTGCCAATGATAGGGCTGGTGGGGCTAGGGCTGTGGAGCTGGTCAGAGCCTGCTGAGCGGAGGAAGCGGACAGGTTGATATGGGAGTAGCAGGTCACAGGGGTAGGGAAGAAGCAAGGCCATTGTAAAAGAGTAAAAAATTTACAATTCTTTATGATGTATGATCATTGTTCACAAGCTCTTACTGGCTTTGAATGTCATTTCACTGTCGAACGCCTGGTTGTAGAGCCTTAAATCATTCTGCAAAGTCCGATCGCTCACAACATTTGCTGTCTAGGAAACCATGGGAGCAATAAAGTGTTTAAATGATGCCTTTTCATAATAGGCATGGACCGTAACCACAGCAAAGACTACAGAAAATAGCAACATCTTCAACCTTAACACGTTCCAGAGTTGTTTAATAAAAATAAGTCTTGTAGGATTATTTTACTACTAAAATAATTCTCAACAGTAATTTATTAGTATGGGCTTCTACTTACCAAAATATGATATCAGTGACAGAAATCTTATTTAGTTTACCAGTTGACCCAGTGGCTAGTTTAAATGCCCTTTTTCACAATTGAGAATAGGCAATATGGTTTATCTTACACTGTATCTTTTTTATAACAGTAGCAGCAATTTGCATTTATATAGCACCCTTTGCGCAGGGCAATGCCTCAGAGCGCTTAACAATGCCAGAACCTGACACCAGGGAAGGGTGGAGGTGACTGTAAGCACAGCCGAAGAGGAAGGACTTTAGTTGTGATCTAAAAGAGGAGATGGAGGGGTTAAGGTGGAGGGATTGGGGTAGAGAATTACAAAGCTTTGGGGCGTAATGTCTGAAAGTGCAGCCACCGATGGTAGGGCAGAGGGGACGAGGGACAAGCAGGAGGCCAGAGCCAGCCGAGCAGAGGCAGCAGGTAATGGAGTGGGGAGAAAGCAACAACAACAAATTACATTTGTATAGCTCCTTTCACGTCAGGAGAGACGTCTCAATGATGTGATAAGGCATTGGTTTTGATAGACATCAAATGCAAGGATTATTATGATAAGTATAATAATAATAATAATAATAATCCTTGCATTTGATATAGCGCTTTTCACGTCGGGAGGACGTCCCAAAGCGCTTCACAGAACACACTGTAAAGTGAATTGACTGTATATTTGTGGGCGAACGCGGCAGCCAATTGCGCACAGCAATGTCCCACAAACAGTCGTAGATTGAAAATGCCCAATTTATTATTGTTTTGTTTTTTGGAGGGATTATTATTAGGCGTGTGGAGTAAGGAAACTTGCCCAAGGTTTCGCCCTGTCTGGAATTGAACTCAGGTCTCTCGCTTGCAAAGCGAGTGCTCTAACCACTGAGCTACAGGACTCCACAACAAGTATTGTTGTTAACAGCAGTCGCCATCTCAGGATTAAGGACTTTTTGTCCAACAAATCAATATCCTTTTAAAACGCAAGCTGGTTGACACCAGATCACCACATTGCAAAGTATCCTGTCTTCTTTCCTTCTCTTCCAGCTTGATATTGCTCTCCATTTATTGTCTTTTATTTTTCGCATTCATTCTGCTTTCTCTTTTTGCATATTATATAGAATTATTTTACAAAATTTATGCACATCAAAAATTAAAATTTTGTTTTGGGCACAGTGGGATCCAAAGTTTCCATCAGGGAAGTGTCTGTTATGGATTTATGTATCACTGAATCTGATAGCAATTCTAATACACAGGAAGTGACATTGGATCCATTAGAAGCAAAACTTCTCTTTGTCATTCATGTCTAAAAATTGCATTATTCCATATATTTATAACAATAATTATCCTTGAATTTGATATTGCTCCCATAGTGTCTCAAAATGCTTTCCTATAAAGTCAGTTGACTGTAGTTATAGGTGAAAGCAACAGCCAATTTGCGTGCAGCAATAAAAACAATTTACATTTATATAGCACCTTTCACCTTGAGAGGTCATTTCACTTTACTCTTCATATAGCTGAGATTGAGGGAAGAGGGGGGGTAGGTGGTGAAAGGTAACCCTGATCCAGGCTTTTAAGAACAATAGAAAAACAACTTCAAAGTTAAGAACAAGTTAAGTTCTCTCTGTGTTTCTGAGGGCGTGTCTCTCTGTGTGACTGTGTATGTGTGTCGCTCTGTGTGTCTGTGTATGCGTGTTGCTCTCTGTGTCTGTGAATGTGTGTGTCTCTGTTTGTGTATATGTGTGTCTCTATGTGTCTCTGAGTGTGTGTGTTTCTGTCTCTTTCTGAGTCTGTGTGCAGTGCTGGGCCCTGAGAGCTGTGTTCTGTGTCTGCCCTCCCCCCCCAAAAAAAAGCCACCGAGTTTTTGTTCAGAGGATCGAGTTCAAGATCCTGGCCTTCACCTGCAAAGCCCTCGATGGCCTCACCCCACCCTACCTCTGTGACATCCTATCCCCTATCAATCCACCAGCTCCTACTGCTCAGCCGGGTCTGGCCTGCTTCACGTCCCCGATCCACCTGCTCTACCATTGGCGGGAGAGCCTTCAGCCACTCTGCCCCCAACCTCTGGAATTCCATCCCCCAATCACTCCGCCTCACCCCTTCCTTAGCCTCCTTCAAGTCCCACCTCAAGGCCCTCCTCTTCGACCATACCATCGGCCAGCCCCCCTTCCGCTCCTCTCCCTTCTCCCCCCCTGACTCCAGCTCGGGTCTGAAATCCTGTACACTGTCCAGCGCTTTAGGACGTCCTCCCGACGTGAAAGGCACTATACAAGTGTAATCTTGTTGTTTGTTAAAGAAGCAATTCATTTTTTTTTGCAACAGTCTAATATGTGTTATTTCCTCATGTTTAGTTTTTATCAATAAAGTGAAAAAATGTAGGTTGGCAGTAAAATGTACCCCAATAGCACCAATCAACTCCCTGACGTTTCCTGCAAATTTGTCAAATTTGCAGGAAATTGCCCACAAAATTTTCAAATCTCCCCGCAACTTTTGGCAAATATTTCCGCACTTTTCTAATCGCCCAGGTCATGACCACCTGAGCAACTTAAGTGACCGGATTGCAAATGTACAGTCAAGTCACTTCACAGTATATTCTGTGAAGCATTTTGAGACGTCTCAGTGATCAGAGAGACGTCTCAATGAAGTGATAAGCACGGATTATTGTTATTATTATTTCCTCTCCGGCCCAGGCTCGCCTGGCTTGAGCCTGGTGGCAAAGGGCTCAAGATAGATTTGTTTTGCAGTTTCTCTTTGTGAGGCCGGATCAAACTCCTCAGATCAGACCCCGTTATCAATCCCAGCCAACAGAGGATGAAGGTATAGTCTCTGGCAGTGGCTTTGTCCCCCATGAACAATCATGCAGAGGCTTAGATTGTGGCTTCCTAACATGACTGAACCTCAAAGGGAGACCACTGACAGGTGCACAATCCAAGAAGCAATAGATCAAAATAGATACTACACTTGATCTGAGGCAAAAGGCCGAGAAGCAGTTCTGACTAGCTTGGCTCAGAATTTACGACTATGCCTCCCCTTGTAATGGATCCCTCTATCACGGAGAAAAGTCGTCTACTATTTAACCTTGTCAATTCCTTTCAATATTCTAAATACCTCAATCAAATAGCCTCTTAACCTCTTGCTCTAAGGAATATAATCCTAGGCTCCCCAGCCTCTCATCAAAGATAAACCCCTTCAGTTCACATTATTTGCACTGTTGTCATTTAAATGTAAAACTTGTGAATCATTATAGATGCAAGTCTTCAATATTTTGAATAACACCCCATCTCAGCGAATAAACATATGATTAGCTTCTAAGGAAATAATTACCATAAACCAACTGAAATTGCCATAACTGAAAGCCTATCTTACCTCTGCCTTCCATGTGGTCCGGATTCTGACCTCTGCTCAATAAAACAGCTGACAAAACCGTCCATCAGATACTCAGGGAAACTCACAGAGCACATCAATTAGGCTGTGATATAAAAACGTCGGATTAGTCATTTGGATCCTGAACTCAGCAATGCATATATTCTGATATGAGTCGTCAAACTATTGCATTTTCTAAGTCAACTATAAAGAAGATTTATTTCATTTTCTTTTTATTTTGATATATAGGAAGAGGTTATTTTAAATTCTGTTGATGTAATTGCTTTTGACATGGTCAACCTAATATCCATGCAGTGTATAACACTGAATAATAATTCTTTTAAGATAGGTTTATCGTATCACATTATGTCCTAAATCTTGCTTCTCAGGTTTACAGTGTAGCTTTTGTTTTTCAGAGTTAGCATATTTATATAAAATTGTGATAATGCATTTAGATGCTTTAAGGGGTCTGGCAAAGGGCTAGAGTATTGGAATTAAAAGATGCC